TGTGGGAGGCTAACCCCTGTCCTGGCCATATAGTCTGTCTGTCTGTCTGTCTCTGCCTGTCCCCCACTCCTGCCCCTTCATGCTTCATGCCTCGGGCAACACCGCCTCTGGTGTGTGCTGCTACTGTTTCAGGCGTCCACACCTGAACATACATGCGGGCCTTGAAGGAAACCCCCCTTGGATGGCCCAGTGTGAACAGTGTCTGGGGTGGAGACCGGTGTCTTTCCCGATCAGAACATCGTTTCCTGAGCTTGTGACGTGGCCGCGCGCTCCCCGAAGGGCTGCGCCCTCGCTCACGTCCCCGGCCTCCGTGGACTCGCAGAGGCTTCGGCGTGTGCTAATGAAGACACGGCCGTGGGTGACGCTGCGCGTGGCGTGTCTCGTCCCGCCCAGCCCTGTGTCTGCAGGGAACAGTCGTAGAAGCAGAGCGGCCGAGACACAGGGAGCATTCCCCTCTGCATGTGCTCGATCCCGTGCGCGGGCTCCAGCGGTTTCAGTGGAAATGGATGCAGGCTCTACAGCTGATATTGGAACCTAAACTCCCTTACGTGCCAAGACGATGGGCTGCCGTTCGGCAGGCGGGTGCATTGTGGTAACGTCGGCGGGCGGGCCGCAGAGCTACGTGGCCATGGCTTAGGAGGCCCCGTGCTGGGCGAGGCCGGAGCACAGGAGATGCTGGAAGTGACTTCATTTCCGGGCTGGCAGAAATTCGGATCGTGGTCTGGAAACCATTTCAATCCCCTACGGCAGTGGTCGGCAAACTGCGGCTCGCGAGCCACATGCGGCTCTTTGGCCCCTTGAGTGTGGCTCTTCCACAAAATACCGACTTCTGCGCATGGGCCACGGAGTTTCAGTCGCACTGTATGTGTGCGCCCACACGTGGTATTTTGTGGAAGAGCCACACTCAGGGGGCCAAAGAGCCGCATGTGGCTCACGAGCCGCGGTTTGCCAACCACGGCCCCGTGTGATCTAAAACCTAACCGCACAGTTGCTTCTGATTCCTGAGCTGGGGGCGGGGGTGGCATTGGGGTAGTAAACCGTCTGGTGACAAATTGGATCCTGTCTGTGGTTGCCTTGCCTTTCACTGGCCACGGTGGAAGGAGCAGAGGGGGCACACCCACATGGCTGAGCCCCCGGTTCCACAGGGAAGGTCAGAGTGGTGGGGGCAGGAATAGGGAGCCCCCAGTTAGGGGCTGGCTCACAAGATTTCATTGGCCCTGGGTACAGACCCCCACTTTTTGGCCTTGTGTCTTATTGGGATTCATGGGAACAGCGAACGGCTCACCATCCCCAGTCAGGTAGGAAATACACAATGGCTGCCGGACCTGGGCCTAAAGGATGGACGTTGTGACTTGTAGCTGGAGGGCACAGAGGCCTTGCAGGAACTGAGCTGTGGGCCTCCAAGGAGGGCCCTGCTTCTTCAGTCCCTGTGTGGGGTGGCAGCCCCTGGGCACGAAAACCCACCTGCTCTCCTACTAGGACCCCAGGCTTCAACATTTTTAAAAAGTAAATCTTAACCAGTGAAATGTGTATTTCCACATAATCAAACTTCCTTAAGGTAGCAACATATTTTATTTAGCAAGGTGTGGTTTGCAAAGTTGGCTATTTATCAAGAAGGGAAATCAGGTTTTTTAAATATGTATTTTCTTTTTTTTTTATTGTTTAAATTTTTACATAAAATTTACCCGCCAATTGACCCGCCATTCCCACCCCAGCCATTCCCATCGGGGGCAAGTCCCCACCGCCCCAGTGTCTGCGTCCATTGGTTATGCTAATGTGCATGCATACAAGTCCTTTGGTTGCTCTCTAACCCCCTCCCCCCCCCCTACTTACCCTGCCATTTGTCTCTGGATCTATTCTTGTTCCTCAAATTATGTTGATCATTATATTCCACATATGAGTGAGATCATGTGATATTTATCTTTCTCCGACTGGCTTATATCGCTTAGCATAATGCTCTCCAGTTCCATCCATGCTGTTGCAAATCAGGTATTTTCTTTTCATTTTCCTCTTTAAAATCATAGGCATATCTCAAACTTTAATGTAATCTATGGTAAAATACCTATCTTCCCCCTAATTTTTTAACCTTACCTTTATGACTTTGCATGTTACTTCAAATGGTAAATGCCGGCTGGTGCGAGGAGTAACATTCTGCGTTCTGATTATGGAATTGAATATCAAATTGTGCATGTGTTCTAAGTTCTCAATAACCATGAAGTGCTTTGTTATTTGAAAACAGGTCGCGAAATCTACTTTGACAAGCACACGCACATTAAAGCTTCTTTCTTTTTTTCTCGGGAGTTTCAGTGTACCAAATTTTGTTGACCCTTCTAACTATGCTAAAGGTATTTCCAGAAGCAGTCCCCACTCTGGTTTTTAAGGGTTTTTATGGAGTTTCCATCACGTGGGCATGACTGACTGCATCCGTGTCCACCGAGGACTGAACTCAGCGTCTCGCTCTGCTCCTCCTCGGCGGTGCCAGGCGTGCCAGGCGCTGAGGGTTCAGCCTGCTAGTCACCGGGCTGGCGTTTCTGGCAACCAGGCCCCCTTCCTCCAGAACCCACCTCCTGAGCACGAACTCACGTGTGCCTGATGGGTTTGCTGTGAGGAGCAGAAGGCACTCCCAGCGCAGGGAATCCCAAGGGTTGTCGGAGCTCTGTGCCAGGAACTGGGCTCAAAGACCACATATGTATGTTTCATGACATCCCACCTGTATCTAGAGTTTCTACTCTGCGTTGCTAAAGAGACAACGGTTCTGACACTTGTTAAAATGGTCAGGAAGACGTGGCTCAGCCCTCCCCCCGGAGTGGGAGGGATCAGGCTCAGCTCCGATACAGCAGGGGCAGGCCGGGTGCAGAGCTGATGAGCAGAGTGAGGGGTCAGGGCGTGGGAAGTTACTAAGAGAAGGACATCGAGGTCCCCCGGGCCCGTCAGCAGTGACGGAAGCCTCCCGCTTCACACACGTTTCCCACTGGCGCGAAGGTGCTATGGAAAGCATATTTCCTGTCCGACAGGACATAGGGTAACGGTGGGGGAGACTGTAGCTGCATGCTGCATTACAGCCCGACACACCTGGGGACAAAGGCCCCCTTTGCCATTTCTTACAGCAAAGTGACCTTTCTGAACTTCCTGTTTGTCATCTCCCGGGAGGATTGAATTGTGTCAGGAAAGCTCCACAAGCAAAACGGATAAATATCTGTGCCGCTTTGTACAACTGATGCCATCTTTGGTACCTTCTCTCTGCTTAAAGGTCCCCTTCTTTGAACCGTCCACCAAGGGGAAATGAATCAGGAGGCTCTGGCTAGAAATTAATGGTATTTAAGGGTTTTAGGGTTTGCAAATCAGAAACACAACTCCAAGAAGTTTGGAGTGCCCGAAGGAGAAGGAAAAGCTGAGTGTTTATAGCAGAACGTACGTGCCTGAGGTCCGGTCCTCCGCGATGACCGTCTTACCGATGCCCGCGGCCTGGATGATGACTGTCAAGGGTCTGGAGATGTGAACATTCTTTCCTGAGTCCTTCGGGGGCTAATCAGAGGTTTATCCATGGGATTTACATGGATGTTCATATGTATATACATATGTCTATACATGCATGTATGTGTGTGTGTACACGCACATTATATCTACAGGCATAACTAGAGTTCACAAGGTGCAGCTCTCAGGCTACTTAGAACAAGGGTAGAGTCATCTCCCGCGCCTCTAGCAGCTCAACCACAGTGACCCCCTTGTATTTCTTCACCGTTTTCCTCAGAGCCTGGGCACCTTGTCATCAGCCTGTGGAGGAATTGGCCCACATGCACATCCATTCAGCAGTCATCCAGGCACCTGTTGTGTGCCTCTTGCACAGCCAAGTGCCATATGCAATAACTCGGGGAAACTATACTGACGTTTTCCAGGATCTGGAACGTGCACACAGTAGGTGCTTAGTCGTGGATGTCTGTTGCATGAAGAAACAGATGTTCCCTAAGAGAAATGTAGGTTCTGCTGGGAGAGCATCTTAGTCAGTGGAGGCTCCTGTAACAGACTCCCACACGGGCTGGCCTGTAGGCAGCTGAAAACTATTTCTCACGGATCGGAGGCTGCGCGTCCTAGGTGAACACACCTGCAGGTGTGGTGTCAGGTGGGGGGCCGTCCAGGTTCGTAGATGGCAGTCTTCTGGCCGTGTCCTCACAGGGGGCACTAATTTCATTCATGAGGGCTCCACCCTCATGACCTATCACCTCCCAAAGGCCCACCTCCAAATCCCATCATATTTGGGGGGGGTTGGGATCTCTGTAGATGAATTTGGGGGGCTGGGGGCGGGGGACACACTGTCTGCAGCAGGGAGCTCCAGTACAGCCGTGTGTGAGGTGCTTTGTGAGTGTCAGGGCGGGAGGGAGCGATCTCCCACTCCTGTCCCGCGAGGAAAGGGCCGGAGGCGCATGAAGAGTGGCAGCCGACACGGCTGGATCTGGAAGGAGATACTAGTATGTGTGGAACTGAAATCGTGCAGCAAATGGCATCGCAGGGAGAGAGAAGAGCGTTAGCAAAGACGGGGGCCTGTCCTTGATCTTGTCCCTGGTGGGGAGGGGAGAGTTGCTTGTGGGGCGACTGACAGGTTGTCTGGGGCTTTGAAGGCACCTGAAGAATCAGTGCTTGAGGGGAGGGGCCTGGGAGAGCCGGGCAGGGCGCCGACCAGGGCTGTCAGCACTTGGTAACCCGGACCCACAATCCTTCCTGGCTCCTGGGTGCTATTTGCTCAGCCTTCCTCTCGGGTTCCAGAAGGTCCCAGGGACTTCTGATGCCCGTGTTGGCTTGTGAGCTTCCGTTAGCACGGGCAACGGAGATCTGCTCGCTAGGGCCGCGGTCCGTGCCTTTCCCACGGTGCCGGCGATGAATGATCGATAAGACGTACCGTCTGCTAGTCCGCATTTCTGCATTTGCCACCACAGAGCCGCCGAGAACTCCCGGCCCCCTGGAGTTCCAAGTCACGCTTCATGGTTGTCTTTTTTCCTCCACAGAAATAGAAAAGTTTCAAAAAGGAGAAGGAAAGGACGAAGAGAAGTACATTGATGTGGTGATTAATAAGAACATGAAGCTGGGACAGAAAGTGTTAATTCCCGTAAAACAGTTCCCTAAGGTAAGACAGTGAGGCCACTGCAGGCGTGCGAGCTTCCGCCAGGGAGTTACGTTTCTGTTTTGTTTGGTATTTTCCGTGGGGTCATTCCCTTAGCACAGCCCCCTCCCCCCACCCCCAATACGCACAGACTTTTACACGGGATCAGGAGCTTAGCGACTCCGTCTTCACTGTTTGAGGGATGGAGCCCTAAAAAGCATGCTTACGGGCACTCTGGCGATGTGACTGGACGGTTTATTTAACTTCGTTCTACTTTAGTTTCTTTATTTGTAAGATGAGCTTTGGATTAGGAATGAAGTCAGGAGGTTTAGCACATAAATGTTCAAAATACTGTTTATTCTAGTTATCCATTCTATAGAAAAGGGTCTGTTTTTCATTCATGCAAATATTATTCTGTGCTATTAGGTGCTTTAAAGTTTGTATCTAATGCTAAAATCTGGGTCTTAGATTTGGCCCGAATTGGTACTGTTTTTACTTGTTTTTCTTTCTTTTGTGGGTCCATGTACACGATTCCCACACACTTTTGTAGATCTCAGTCGCTGGTTTCTTTGGATTGCTGAATACTAATCCGTTACCTGAGTATGCCGCACGCCGTCCGTTTGCCCGGGCCGTTTTCAGCGTGGGTTATTATAAACCAAATTGCACACGCATTCTCATACAAATCACTTTGTGACCATATGTTCTCATTTATTTTGAGTAAATGCTTAGGCATCTCATGGCTGTGCATTTAGTTTTACAAGAAATTGCCATACTCCTCCCCTCCCCCCACAAAGTGGCTGCACCCTGTGACAGCTCCGGGGCAGTGCACACAATTGTGACTGCTCCAGGTCTGCGTCACCTTTTGGTGTTATCAGTCGCTTCAGTTTCAGCCAGGAGTGCTACTGGCATTCCTTGTGGTGTTAATTTGCATTTTCCTGATGAGTAACGATTTTGTGTGCTTGTTCATGTATTTATTGGCTGTTCGTTTATCTCCTGTTGTGAAGTGTCTTTTTAGGTTTTTGGTCTATTTCTAAATGGGAAGGATGCCTTCTTACCATTGAATTGTAGGAGCTTTTTATATATCCTGGACACATATTTGTTAGACATGGGATTTGTGAACACTTGGGCCAGTCCGTGACTTGTCTGCTGTCTTCTTAATGGAGTCTTGTGAGAAGCAGATGTTTTCGATTTTGATGACGTCTGATGTATCAGGATTTCCTTTTCTGATGGTTACCTTTTACCAATTAAGAAATCTTTGCCGAGCTCAAGGAAATGTTAAAGTCCTTTGCTAAATATAAAGATAATCTCCTGTATTTCCTCATAGGTCTATGATGCATCTGACATTAATTTTTGTGTATGGTGTGAGATAGAGGGTCAAAATTCATTTTTTTTCTTCATACAGATATTCAGTTTTTCAGTCCGATTTGTTGAAAGATGTTTCCTTCCCGATGATTGTGCATCTCTGATGAGAGCCAGATGACTGTGGAAGTGAGGGTCTGTTGTCACACTTTCTTCTTATGGATCCTAATGCTACTACCTTACTGTCTTCATTACGGTAGCTTTTTTATAATAAGACATCAAGTTAGGTCATGTAGTCCCTTCAACTTTGTCCTTCCTTCTCAGGATTTCTTGGATATAGATCCTTGGCAATTTTATGTAAGTTAAATAAGTATTGTATGAATTGTCCCAAAACATTCTGTAGGGATTATGATTGCAGTTGCATTGAATCTGTTGATCAGGTTAGGGAGATTTGACATCTTAAAAATACAGAGACTGCCCTTCCTTGATCATGGTATATCTTTTCCATTTATTTAGATGTTAATTTTCTATCAATAGCATTTTATACTTTTCAGGATAAAGGGATTATGTGTCTTTTGCTAAACTTGTTCCTAAAAGTTTTATGTTTTGACACTTGTAAAATGGATATTTAGAATTCTTTTCCTTTTTTTTTTGCTTCTAATTAAAATTTTATATATTAACCTTGTATGCTGCTACCTTGCTAACTCACTTGTTAATTCTAGTAAGTTGCTTTATAATTCTTTAGGATATGCTATGTACATAAGTATATCATCTGTATAAACAGATTACTTCTTCTTTTCCAATTTGTGTGCTCTTTATGGATTTAGCTTGCTTTATTGTATTGGCTAGCATCTCTAGTATAATATTTGAATACAAGTGGGAAGATTAGGCATTCTTCCCTTATCCCAATCAATGTAGGAAACATTCAGTATGTTACCATTAAGAATGGCAACAGCCATAGGTTTTTATTAGATGACCTTTATGAGGTAGAGGAAGCTCCTTCTACTTCAGTTTTGCTGAGAGGTTTGATCCAGATGAGGCGGTGAATGTTTTGAATGCCATTTCTGCATCTGTTGAAACGAACACAGGACGTTACTCCTTTGAATTTTCCACATGGTGAATTTTATTGATTGAGTTGTTTGAATTAAACCAACTTTGCATTCCTCGGTTAAACCTTACCTAGGAATGACATACTATCCTTTTATGTATTGTTGGATTTTATCCATGGAATTGGGGGCTCCTCAGCTCTGCCTCTTGTCTTTTCTAGTGTTCCTCCCGACATCTCAACGCTGTCGTTGCCTGAAACCTTGCTGTTGAGGCTGAACATTCTGAAATCAGTGAATTCTCCCAGGCCATCCCCTTCTCCCAAGTCTGACTCTCTTCCAGAATTTTCTGGTTTCTGATCGTTCTCCACGGGCTTCAGATAGTTGGTTTTTATAATTTGTTCAGAGCTTGAGAGTTCATAGTTACTATCTCTAGACGTCATCCTGCTAGGAGTTCAGTCAGACTTACAGAACCTTTTCAGTCAACTCTGTTGGGACCCTCTCATTGAGTCATTATGACCTGAAGCTTGGCTCCTGGAAACCTTCATAAAATGATAACCATACCCAACAGCCTCTGTGTGCTTGATGTGCGGTAGACAATCATATCGCTGTCCGTCTTCAGATAGTTCAGAGCCTACTAGCTAATCAGTCTACAATTAATACTCTGCTGTGTGTGAGTGAGCACATGGTGCGTAGCCTAGTAGACGCTGAATCTATAATTAATACTCCGTTGTGTATGAGTGAGCATGTGGTGCATATTCTAGTAGATGATGAATCTATAATTAATACGCTGTTGTGTATGAGTAAGTGCATGAAGTAAAGGATATGAAATAAAATCTCCAACATCCTTTTGCGATGTCAGCTTTGATGTGAGCAGGGGAAGACAGATGGTCATTTCTTTGTCTAACGGAGAGCAGCGTCCACTGCCAGTATTTCTAATGTGAGAAGCAGGCTGCTCAGAAACCCACTGCTCTCAGATGCCGAAGGAGGCATCTCTGCTGAGCATGTTGAGCGTGTGGGTTTCAGGCGCCAGCCGGTGTAAAGGCTAATGGTGCACTTCACCAGTTCTCAGAAAAGGCGTTCCTGCTGGTGCCAGGCAACAGACTGGGCGGGGGGGAGGGGGAGGCTGGCGGGGCGTGGCCCTCTGGCCCGGCGGTGGGCACAGGGCGGCTTGATATGGACTCGATGCTGACCCTACACTTTCAGCTTTGGGGGCAAGAGAGAAATGCTGTGTGTGAAACTCCATGTACTGAGATGATCTTCCGTTCATGGAATGCTTTCTCTTTTCTTTTGTTTTTTAATCCTCACCCGAGGATATTTTTCCATTGAATTTTTAGAGCCAGTGGAAGAGAGAGGGAAAGACAGAAACATCGAAACATAACAATTGGTTGCCTCCTGCACGAGCCCTGATCAGGGCCCAGGTGGGGGAGGAGTCTGCAACCGAGGTACATGCCCATGACCGGAATTGAACCCGGGACCTTTCAGTCCCCAGGCCGATGCTCTACCCACTGAGCCACACCGGCCAGGGCCGTTTCTCTCCTCTTCATGCACTCCTGTCGGCACTCGTGCAAACGGCTCCCCCTTGAGCACCAGCCTTAGTGCTCAGACCTGACGTACGTGCCCTTTCCGAGCGACATGTCTGAGCTGGTCAGGCCTGACCTCAGAGGAAGCACTGTTTTAGGGTTGGGGGGCAGGTGGACTTCTCGGGGTGTTTCATGATTGGGGGCAGGTGGACTTCTCCAGGTGTTTCATGATTGGGAGCAGGGAACAGGTGGGCTTCTCCAGGTGTTTCATGATTGGGAGCGGGGAACAGGTGGACTTCTCCAGGTGTTTCATGATTGGGGGCGGGGAACAGGTGGACTTCTCCAGGTGTTTCATGATTGGGGGCGGGGAACAGGTGGGCTTCTCCAGGTGTTTCATGATTGGGGGCGGGGAACAGGTGGGCTTCTCCAGATGTTTCATGATTGGGGGCGGGGAACAGGTGGACTTCTCCAGGTGTTTCATGATTGGGGGCGGGGAACAGGTGGACTTCTCCAGGTGTTTCATGATTGGGGGCGGGGAACAGGTGGGCTTCTCCAAGTGTTCCATGATTGGGGGGAGCAGGTGGGCTTCTCGGGGTGTTCCATGTTGTGACATATCACTGGCTTAGATCTCTTGAAGGCCAGTGGACTGATAGTTTTGGCTCTGGGCCCTGAGGGCCACCAGGTCGGATCTGCTGAGCACTGCGCGACTGTAGTGACACTAGACAGGAAGTGTGAGCAAACATGGACCCTCCTGGACCCAGCTGCAGCCTCTGTCCAAACCAGGCATTGACACATAATTACATGAAACGAGGGACACGTAACACACAGTCACATAGTTACAGGGGGGAGGGGGCAGGTCCAGGAGCCACTGTGTGGGGCGCGGCTCCGCCTGCGGATACCTCCCCGTGGGGAGCGCAGCCTCCCAGTGCGCCGTGGCCACAGCGGCCGCGGACCTGCCTTTCTTGGCGAGCCCGGCCCGCTCCCGGGTTTGTTATTTCTGTGGGCGACAGATCGCCCGTGTACCTCAGCACCCGGACCCGCCGCGCATGGTTTTTTTTAAATTTTTTAATTGATTTCAGAGAGAAAGGGAGAGGGAAAGAGAGAGAGAAGCATCAATGATGACAGAGATTATTGGTCCGCTCCCCTGTCCCGCTGCGGA